TTTAGTGTTGTAGAGATAATGAGGCGTTTTTATCAAATATTACTCAGACGGATTGTTATATGTAATTTGTGTTCCAAAACTGTCTTCAGGCTCAGGGCATTTAGAATTTCTGATTTGCCATTTTGACATATTCTTCAGATTACTTCTGTAATTCCTTGGGATAACCATCACGCAACTTATAAGAATAAGAAAAAAAATTACTAACAAAAATTATGGTTTAAAGTGGTGTTAAATAAACATAGACTCTAAATCGAAAAAATTTTAATAACTTGAAGTGCAATACAACTACCTTCAAGTAGGCAACAAGTAAGAGTGAGGAAGGTAATTTATACATAACTAAAATCAAGAGTGGAGAAAATACCCATTGGTATTACTCCAATGTTACTAAATATTGTCTTAAACCATTATCTAATTCCTAGCCAATCTTCTGTCAGTGAACTTTACTGTAGCAGCTGTATATTGCCCACCAAATCATAACCTTTCCCACCAACAGTTTCTAACTTTTTTCCAGTGAATTTGCTCGCTTTTCCTGTTCGGTGTTATTACAATGCGAAGCTGCAGGGCACCTAATCCACGAGGTCCTGTCTTACGCAGTGTCCTCTCCTCCTAACGTCTCAACTACATATCTCCCCCTGATCCGACATATTGGCCCACTGCTAATAACTTCTTATAGACTTCTTCATTATATCCCAACTCTCTTCACTCACCATGTTTGTACATTGAATGATTTCTCATCTGATCACAGTCCTGTGCTATGAACTATAGACTATCCCATTCCAACTGTCCCTAGGGCTACATTAATACAAGGTCCAGTGGACTGGAAACAATTTGGAATAGTCTTGGAGCAAATAAACCTCAAACCCCCCCTTGAAACACACCACAAAATAGACTGCAATTGAAAAATTTACATTATCAATAACTGAATCCATCAGTGTTCAACAATTCACACACATATACGAAACCCTTATTCTCAGCACATTAACGTACCGCTTTATATTCGCTACCTTATACGAACAAAAAGGCAAGCTCGTAAAGAATGGCAAAGAACACGTTTTCCTTCAGATAAACGAAAACTGAATAAACACATCAGCTGACTACGCAAGCATATCGCTCCGACCGATTCAGACGATTTACTAAAGCACTAACAACGGATAACAAATCGCTCTGGGCGCCAGCTAAAAATCTTCTATCTTACCACAAAATATCTACCTCTGCTGGGTCCCAGGACGCAGGGGAGTAGAAGGCAGCGAGAAAGCGGACACCTTTGCAAGGAAAGGAGCTGTTAAACCGCTGATAGAAGCCGAATCCTTCTGTGGCATGGCAACCCACACTATTAATGAGTATCTCAGACAGAAGGACAAAAAGAAAATGAAGGAATAATGGAATTCACTCATTGGACACAGACAATCCAAGAATCTCCTAAAAAATTTCGGAAGAAAAGAAATTACATAATGGATCAAAAGCTGGAATAAAGTGAGAATCCTAATAGGATTCTTAACAGGACACTGCAAGCTAAATGGACACTTAAAGAAGGTTGAAATAATCCAAGACGGCATATGCAGATTCTGCAAAGAGGCAGAGGAGACACCAACACACCTTTTAACAAACAGTGGTGCTACACTTGCCCGCAGAAGGATGCTGGGATGTACAATGTTACCATAGAAAAGATTCAACCATTGAAATTGGGTATTAATCAAGATCCCTGATGAAATAGGACTCACCGGTGTGTTTTAGGCAGAGAATTAAAGATGAGATGATGTATCGACCTGCTTGTTGAACAATTGAACGGAAGGTTCTTCGGTGAGGTCACATCAGAAACGACAATTCTTAAAGTTTGTGCCGAGCTTTCGACGATTATATCGTCATCATCAGGGCCTATTTATTTAGTGAAAATATCGCAATTAGAACATGTTACATCATTTCAAAAACAAAATTACAAACAATTATTTTTCTTACTTTAACTAATGATGATGATATAATCGTCGAAAGCTCGGCAAAAATTTAAAGAATTGTCGTTTCTGTTGTGACCTCACCGAAGAACCTTCTGTTCAAGTTAATAATTAAATTATTTCATTAAGCTGTACTTGTTTTACAAGGCCTTTCACGCAAATGGAAGTAACGATTTTCAGAGGTCAGATTTCTAGCAACTGCTGTACCAGCGAGGACATGACAATTGCGAAGGAAATTATTAAGATCTTCCTTGATAATCAAATTCCAAAGAGAACATACCCTGATGCGTCTTCAACCAGGGCAAATAATAGAGAAGCAACCCTTTCAGCTTGACTATTGTGCTAATGACATGACGATTGCGAAGGCTATCTGTCTAGTTCTAGAGGATGGTTTTTTGGGAAAAACAAAAAACTACATAGTTTGTTGAGAATCTAAAAGATATGGAAGATGGCCAGTCAGTGGGTTCCTGGTTTATTGTTTATTACTATGAACCAATGAAGCAGATAAGTAGGTCAGAGGAGAACGCCTTAAGTTAGATATTGATTAGATACCTCGTTCTGCAGAAATGGTTACTAAAAACGCAGAACCAATATTAATTTAACTAAATTAAACTAGTGGAACACCACAACCTACATAGCTACAACATTTACCAAAGATGACCAGGAAGTGATAACACCCTCAACAAAATCGTACAGTCATAATGTAGACGTAAACAAAATACTGGCCTTGTGGAGGTCTCGATACTAACCTTATTTGTAGCATTTGTAAGTAGAAATTTTTTTTTTTAAGAAATACCTTTCGAAACATTCCATGACCTAATAATCATGCAAGTTATACAACTTAGTAGCATAAATTTTTTTCTTCGGGAAATCCTGTTGTTTTCATTCTACGTCCATTTTGATAGGTATCCACGATTAATATCATTAATTAATTATATGATTATGTCTGAGGATGCAGTTTGGTCGTTTCTGGTCTTTCTGGTTCGTTTGTCCTCGCTTCTTTCCCCTGTCTGACGCGTTTTCTCCATTTTCAACCATTTTCACTGGTAAATTCCTCTATTGTTTTGTAAAATAACTGTTGGATTGTGTGCTTATATTTATGAGTGATGCATTTTTAATGCTTTTAGTTCTTATAATTTCGTTTTATCTGTTTTCGAGTGTTTTTTTCGGACCCCCACGAGGAAGTCAATTATTATGTTGTTTTTCAATTCTTCAAAGCCTGTATAATTAAAAACTATGTAGATTATCGTTTCTGGTCTTCCTGGTTCGTTTGTCCTCGCTTCTTTCCCCTGTCTGACGCGTTTTCTCCATTTTCAACCATTTTCACTGGTAAATTCCTCTATTGTTTTGTAAAATAACTGTTGGATTGTGTGCTTATATTTATGAGTGATGCATTTTTAATGCTTTTAGTTCTTATAATTTCGTTTTATCTCTTTTTGAGTGTTTTGTTTGCACCCTCACGATGAAGTCATTTATCATGTTGTTTTTCAATGCTTCACATGTAAATAGTTTGGTCCTAAAAAACTATGTATTTTGGTCGTTTCTGGTCTTCCTGGTCCGTCTGTCCTCGCTTCTTTGACTAATAAAAACACATTTTGCCCCATTTTATAATCATCAGTGGTAGATTCATCCATTGTTTTGTAAAATAACTATTGAATTATGCTTGTGTAGTTTTGTAAAAAATTATTTAAAATTCTATTGGAATTTAAATATTGTTAATTATTTCAACTTATAATTTAGTTTGAACCGTTTTAAGCGTTTTTATCCCACCAATGCAGTAGTTTATTATGTTGTTTTTGCAATGCATCAAAGCCTGTAAAACTAAAAACCTATGTATTTTGTTCGCTTCCTGTCTTCCTGGTCCGTTTGTTCTCGCTTCTCTGACGTGTAAAACTAAAATCATATTTTGCCCCATTTCATAAACATCGTTGGTAGATTCGTCTATTGATTTGTACAATACTATTGAATTACGCTTGTGTAATTTTGTGAAATAATTGCTTAAAATTATACTTTTATCGGAATTTAAATATTGTTAATTATTTCAGCTTTATTATTTAGTTTTTACCGTTTTTAAGTGTTTTTATCCCAACGTAACGATGCCGTAGTTTATTACGTTGTTTCTGCAATGCTTCAAAGCCTGTAAAAATTAAAAAACGATATAGTTTGGTCGTTTCTTGACTTCCTGGTCCGTCTGGTCTCGCTTTTTTGGCCTGTAAAACTAAAACTTTTTCAATGCTTAAAATGTAGTTTGGTCGTTTCTGGTCATCCTGGTCCGACAATCCTCGCTTTGGTCTGTCAGATTAATTTTCTCCATTTTACCTCATTTAGTGGCAGAATCATGTATTGTTTTGTGAAATAATTGTTTAAAATGATACTTTTTTTTAGAATTTAATGTTGTTGATAATTTCAGTTATTATTTAGTGTTTGCCGTTTTTTAAGTGTTTTTATCCCACCTCACGATGCAGTAATTTATTACGTTGTTTTTACAACGTAATAAACGTTTTTTGCTTCGGTCTGTCAAACGCTCCAATTTATCATCTTCTTCGTCTTTAACCCACGCTTTTGATGAAGTTTGTTAAAAGAATGTTCCAACTAAAAACAATGTAATTTGCCCTTTTTCAATCGATTTAGGTTGTCTATATTTTAGTTTTGTTGTGAACCCAGAAGGTGAAGAATCGAAGACATCACACCAAAATAGCGAGGCTGACTAAAATGTTCGGAAAACTACCAAACTGCAGGTCTATCACCCCAAGAAGAAATCAAATAATATAAAAAACTGTCTCGCTTCATGAATCTTATCTGATCTGCTATTTCCAAAACCCAAGTTTTGTTTTAAAAAACGGCTATGAAAAGTTAAGAAGACAAAAATTTATTATAGAACATTGAACAATAACACGCAATATGTAGTAAATCTTTTGATTCTCATAGTAAATAATGCAAAACCAGTGGGTCAGGGAGACGTATCATACAAATTTATTTTGATATATTTTTCGTGACCCTCTTTGGAAAGGAACAAAGTCCCAATTTTACGGAGTCACTTCCAAGGATGACTACAATGCTTAAACGTTTAGATAGATAAACAATTCTTAGCCCCTTTTCATTATTATTGTGATTTCAGATTTGCCTAATATCGCCCCAATCCACGTTCAGTCATTTCAGCTACCGACCATCCGGCTCATCCCGAGAACGTCCTACCGCATAGGATTTCTGTACCGATTCGATTTGTTTAGAATATTTGCTATGGAGGAAAGCGATTCCAAGGGGGCAAGAGAGGGGAGAAATAGTAAGATAAGGTTTCCATGCACTCTACTCCCTGTCACAGCTTAACCTATCCCTGGTCGTGGCACATCTTTTATGTAGTTTTAAGTTCGTGCTTTAAAAAGTTTCCCTCGCAAATGTAATTGAAAGTTTATCACGGCAGACGGAATTTTGTAAAAATTGAAAGGAATAAAAATTCTGCTCTGAACTTTCTCCTGGTCAAATATCTTCGATTTATTTTATTTTTATAAATAAGTGAGGTAAGTCAAGTAATTTTCAATATTTATTTTATGTCCGTTTTGGTGGTAGCGTGTAACTTTTTCAATCTTGGGTTTTATTCCTAAGTTTTAAATGTTTTTTTTTAAGTCCAACAGTGGCTCTTACCTTAAGAAAATGGCCGCTTTTATTCCAAAAAGTTTTTTCCCTTTTTCTTTTCCACACTCGAGTTGAAAACGACGTCGGAGGCCCTTCCATGAGAGAAGTCTGTCACTGACTGCCTTCAACCTGCATAATGATAATGTTATCAAGGGTGGTGAAGATACTAGCGCGATAGAGATTAAAATATTTATATACAGTACAATTTATAACATCATAGATTATCACGTATCTGGTCGCAAACATCGTAGATAATAAAATTTCGAGGATGAGGCGATTTTGAATTATACCTCTTCGGGACTGGCAGCGGCTGCCGGCTCAGAGCTCATCGCTCGCGGACTGCGACGCTCCCTGAGGGTTCACTATAGTCTCTAGTTTCGAATAGAACATTAATTTATTAAAGAGAATATTTTGTTTATTTATCGTGTATATTTAGTCAATAATTGTGTACGGGTTTTTCAATCAGTATGCACGGCATACTTGAAACTATGAACTATTTAGTTCATTTTTTTTTTTTTTTAATTTTTCGTTGTTAACTCTCTTTCATGGCTTTGAATTCACTTTTGCGCTGTTATGCTCCAAGTCTGTTTCCTTCATAAAACTCAATAATTACTATGTTTATTTTACTTTAGACCTTGGATTCACCTGCAATTTATTTTTTCATAGTTTTCAACTCTGTCACTTTAAAAATAAATTTTTATAAAAACACAGTAAACATATATTTAAACAAAAGTGAAACAGTTTATATGAAATCAGCGACCAGTTGAAAATCTTGTCTCGTCTTTAAAAAAATTAAATATATTAAGTGTTAAATAATAGTATCTGAATTCAGATAGATATCAGTGTTGTCTGTTTAATAAAAAGAAAATTAAATATTGTCATAGGAAGGCTTTATGTTCAACGAAACGCTGGTTGTCGTGGATGAAGGGTTAGAACCACGTTCCAATGCATTTTACATATTACTTCAAATTAAAATACCAGGGGTTGGCCGGGATTCGAACCCAGAACCGCTAGTGGACAAACCACTCCATTTTTTTAAACAATACAATTAATTAACAGCAGTTTGTAAGGAAAATGAGTGCCTAGTGAAAAGCCGCCGTTCAATGGAAAATAAATGTAACCAACTGAACGAATTTTCAGTTTTTTATTCTTTTTTGGTTTTTGTACGTTTTTTTATTGTAAATTTTTTAGTGTGAAATAGCAGTGTAATTTGAGGGCCATTTAGGAGGATTCCCGGGAAAGGATGAAAGATGTTGAATTTTGGGGGTTGGGATGAAGATCCAAGGTTTTATGGAAGGCATCTGTATCGACTTTTTACATTTCGAAGAAAAAATTTTGGTTGAAGCCCACAGTTAAGTTTGGTTGTGGTAATGATGTAAAGATGAGATTTTTTTGCACTTGTGATTTTGATCTGTTGTCAAATAGTCTTATGAGTAGGTTTTATCGTTAGTATAGTTCTATTCTTTTAAGTCGAGTGTGAAGGTTCCAAGTAATTCCATGTCCCAAATACCGAAGATCCTATCTAGCTTTAATAAAATTAATTCATAATACAAAATAAAACCGCGGTTATTATTTATCTGTAATTATTATTAAATCTCCATTGTTCGATTTTTATTGATTGCCAAATTTGTCATAATTTTGGCCAACAGGAAAAATAGAACAGTAGGGACTAACTAAAAAAATGATTAAAAAAATAATAACAATATTTTTTTAAAACGCCCTTAAAAATTAATAATAATAATAATAATAATAACAATATTTTTTATGAACTATTATGTAATTATAAACGTGAAGATTTACGATGTTTTGAACTTAATGTTTACAATGACTCGAAAACAATAGATCGTTGGCTTTAATTATAAATTTTTATTATAAAGATGCAGTTATCAATTTTCTGTGATTCCTATTAAATCAATATTGCTCCAATTTTAGTAATTTAGTAGAATAATTTTTCATCTCAAGCACGCTTTACATAAAGATTATAAATCAAGTCAAATTGGAAAAAATTACAACGTAAAATAGTTCAATTGATATGGTAAATGTTGAATTAGGGTTGGAAAAAGTTGAATTTGATTCGAAAATTGTTTGATTTGGCATGGATAAAATGGGATTTGTGTTAGCATAATTTATTATTATTCTAAATAAGGAAAATAATTTTTTTTTTTATCATTTGGAATTTAGATGTTTGAACAACGGTCATTCTAGATTATCAGTTGGTATTCCCGATCGAACAATAATTATTTTTGTAATTTGGCCTGCCTATCCTCGCTGGTTTGGTCTGTCAGAGGCGTTTTTAAATTTTGCCATCTTCATTGTTGATTTTTCATTTTTCTATGGTTAATTTAACCTTTTCAGAATTAAATTCATCACCATACGAAGAAATCTCACAATAAATTAATTTCATTGAGATGCAGTCGAATCGTTATAACTCCTAAATCGCCTGGGCGTACCACACGTTGTGCCTTTCTTCCACTTTTTTCTAATATTTACCTTTTTGTTACCTAGCACTTATGCTGCTGCGCCCTTCTTTATTCTCTTTCACTTTTCATTGACGTTCGGATTTCCGGCTTGGTCGAATTCGACCTGGATTGAGATTTTTCACCTTGGGGTATTTTTACTCTTCTATATTCTCTTATTTCATGTTTGTCTGTGTTCGGTGTTTTATAAATCAGTATTGACTTTCTAACCTGTCCTACGTTTACTTAGTTATCAGTTATCTAAATAATCACTATAATATTAATTTATAAAAATAACTAGTTGGAACAAAATGTCACTTTTTTTGCCAAACTTTCTTTACTAATGAAAAACAAATTAATCATTTATGAACGGAATAATGGTGAAAACACAAATTTATTTAATAAAATTACACTTCAAGCGATTAGTTCAATTTTTATGAAAATCTGATGCTCACTAAGGAACACTGACAGACTTCCTGCTTATATATATAAAATTTTAAAATACAAAGAACTACATCTATTTATATTTCCATTTTGCAAATATTGATTTAACTATAACCAGTTAAAAGAAATGGAAAAAAATTGGCATTACATTGAAAACATGTTGCAAAACGTCAATTCATATTCTATACAATTCACAAAACCAAATTTCAATGGGCTATGATTTCCCCTTTTTTTAAAGCATTTTGAAAAAGGGATGAAAAAGGATCTAATTTATAAAATGATTGATTCATGAGATGCAATAATACTTACTTTAAATTAAATTTCCGTATTTTTCAAAAATTTCTGACGTTTTTTCAACTCTAAAATTTACTTCATTCAGCTCCTATGATAAGAATTTATCAAAAATCGGCAATTGGTAATTTGTGAGTATATCGAATTTTTTGGTGATCCACCAAGGATCCCCCCCACGAAAATATAGCTAATTTTTTTCTTACTTTTTTACTCTTCGAAATAGTACTTGCCGGTATTGTAAAAGTTACAATTAAGTTCTAAATATATATTTTTGTAGTTCTGAGTATACATATTTACACATTTTAGAGTGGAAAAAGTAATTTTCATAACTTAAAATTTTTCTCTACATTCAAATTAGCTGATATTTTTATTTCCCATGAATTCATTAATTAATTGATTGTTCGTAATCATTTCAAACGTGTTAAAAATCAAAAAAAGATTCAAAGTCTTTGTTGGAAGATTTTGTTTAAAAAATGTATGGATGTATGAAAACTAAGTATTTGATTAAACTTTACGCAGTCTGCTATTTTTTCCTATTTCATATTATTTTATCATATAACATCAAACAAATAATTTAGAATATTTTCGGTATATTTGGTACCAGGTTAACTATTTAACGTATGACAAACCCAAAAATCATCACCAGGGAAAAGAAAACCCTCGACTTTCAACTTTCTTCTCAAAATATTGATACAAATTATTTTTTTACGTTTTTTTTAAACATTTCAATGCCTGTAAAACTAAAATAAACTGTCTTGTGGCGTTTCGTGTCGCTCTGGTCCGCGACGTCGCTGCTTTAGCCGATCTGACGCGTTTTTGAAAAACTAAACTAACTTTTAGCTACGCGATCAATGAGTCATCGCGATGAAAAACCAGGTAAAAAATGGTCCGCGGAGGGCAAAGTCCAAAGTCCATTATTGCCAAGCGCGTTGCCCCTGGCGAAACAATGGTTGTTTACGCCAAAAAGTGAACAAACAAGTTGTAAATTGTTGCAATTTATCCCTTTCAAATCAGTTAATTATAACTGTATTTTAGTGCAAATATGGCGGAGCTGATTCTTTTTAAAGGTTGCCAAATATTATTTATTGCAATGAAATGATAAAAATTGTCTTTTAAATTAATTATTTACGGTTTAGAAGGAATTGTCGACAATAGAATTTATTTTACGTTGATCAAATAATTTAATTTAAAAGTTTTCGTCTAAGATGGCAAAGGAAAAAAGGTGTGGCAGCCGTTACATATTAGTCATTGGTTTCAACCTTAAATAACAATTATTTTTAAACATGACATAATCATTATTTGCCTAAACTGAAAGCATAATGACCGTGATTTAACTTTAATTTCATAAATTGAAATTTTCATTTAAAAAAATGAAATAAAATCATTTTCATAAATAAGTTTAAAGAACTGGAGAAAAAATTAAAAACATCGCACTTGTCCTCTAATTAAGAATTTTTAGAGTTAAAAGTCTTCGGTTTTCCCCCCAAAAAAATGAAATTATTTAATGTGGCGATAAATATCATGTAGTTTCCTATAGCTGCATTACAATATTTTACCTATTTTTATGTATGATGCTTAATTTTTTCACATTTTTATCTAGACATTTTGGTGTAGGAAGTTTTTTAAATGTACTTTGACCTAGTAAAACTAGTCAAATAAAATATTAAAAGTATATTACATATTTTTGATGAATACACATAAAATTATAAAGTTTTTTTTTTATCTATGTATTTTGTCATCCCTGGTTTTCACCACCAGAGACAATTTCTATCCTATTATTTTTCACAGGACAAATTTTACAGAGCGAATCGTATAAAAGCGAATTTAATTAGTTACTGTCTGTCAAACCAAAAATATATTTAAAAATCTATTTACTTATTAGATACTAGATATTAGATATAATTGGGTAGAAAATATTAGAATTTTATTTGGAAAAAATTCATTTCCAAAATATCGAATTATACTTAAGGAAAAAGTGTATATTCATGTCACTGCGTGTTCTTATTGGTTATTTTTTTAATTTACATCTAATTTACCTATATTAAAGAATAAAACAATAAAAAAAATGGTAACATTATTTAAAAAAGGTGTATGCTAAACTGCCTTCTGAAATTTGATCAAAATAATACAACCGTCCGTTTTTCATTCCAACCCAATCTGTTGGTTTAAAAACATGAAAATTGAATTAGGATGATAAAAAACTCAAACCGATTTAGAGATGATTGGATAGTGCATGAGGAAAAGTTATTTTAATTAAAATAAACAATTAAAAAATTTAATATTGTGATATTTTGTTATCTGCGGTTATCGTTATCGATCAACTATCTTCAGTAGCGGGTTTGTGTGGTTTTTTTAAAAATCGGATCTTCTTTTGTTTGGAAGAGATTGAATTACAGTTGGAAAAGCAAAGTTGTATTTGAGTTGGAAAAAGTCTTCACTTGGCTAGAGAGTATTTCACTTTAATATGGAAACGGTTGAATTAAATTTGGAAAAAGTAGAACTTGGTTCGTGATTAATTCAATTTGGTATGGAAAAGTTGTAGTTGAGTGGGAAAAAGTTGTATTGCAGTTGGAAAAAGTCTTAACTTGGCTGGAGAGTATTTCACTTTGATATGAAAAAGGTTGAATTAGATTTGGAAAAAGTAAAACTTGGTTCGTGATTAGTTCAATTGGATATGGAAAAGTTGTGTTTCAGTTGGAAAAAGTTGTATTACAGTTGGAAAAAATATAACTTGGTTCGTGAATAGTTCAATTCGGCATGGAAAAAGTTGAATTAGAGTAAGAAAAAGTTGATTTTGGTTCGTGAATAGTTCAATTTGGTGTGGAACAGGTATTACAGTTGGTAAAAGTTTAATTTGCCTTGAAAAAAAGTATCATTAGATCAATAAAACAAATACTTTTGAATTGTAGTAAAAGTATTCGCGTTAAGTTAAAACCTTTGAAATATATTCTTAGGCGTATTTTGACGTCAAACAAGTCTCCAAATTGACTAGGAAAAAAGAAAAATAACAAAAGATTGTAAATCATGCGTTTCGGCTCCTTCGAAGGCATCCTCAGGTCCTATGCATTATTACTATGCGTAATCATTTAAATTTTCAAAATATTAACTACAGTTGCACCTGGAACTATAAATTGCAGGATTCCCCCTTAATCACACCTTAAAAATAGTACATACAGTAAATATTAATTTATTTTATGTGAATCTTCTTGATTGAAAAGGTTGGATTTGATTTGGAAAAAGTCTAAGCACTTTTTTAAATGGTTTTTCTATTTAAATTATAATTTTTGTTTCTATACTAATAGTTTTAATTATCGGTATACAGTTTTGTTTAGTTTTCATCTTTAAACCATGTTAATTAATGCCCAACAGCCAATATTGTACAATAGAATACATTTAACGGCTGATATTAATTTATTTTATTAATAATAAATACCTTTTCGTAAAAGGAAAAACGGTATTAGTATGAAAATAAATCGCAAGGTGGTACCGCCCAAGATACATTGTAGAGGGTGGTTCTTGGGGTCCTTCGCAAGACTCCTCCCCTCTACTTCTGCGGAAGGCAGAAGTTCAACCCTTAGACGTCCAGCACATTCTATAAACGGTAGCCCCCGTGGTCAAATCGTCATCAGTCGAAATAAACAACCCAAACGAAATGGATGGATACGAACTTATAACTAATTTGGAATTTAAGGATTTATTCATGATGGACAAAGAAGGACAGGAGACTACTGGCGTCATCCGGACCCAACAGCAGGGCGTCAGGACTATCACTACCTCAGGCACGATAACTACAAGCCCGGAAAATCATGAATCAACTCCCTCCCCAGAACAGCAATACATAGAACAGTAAGTTTTTTTAATACATTTTGTGTGCAGTATATGCCTAACCATTTACATTGAGTTATATTAAATGTGAAGTCCGTTTCTTTTTCAATCAACAAAACATGACGTCAAATAATAGTTAAAAAAGTCATGGTTTGATTTTTAATCGAGAACTATTTTTAGGGCCAAGCCTGCAGATTTCGAACCTTACAAGCTCCAAGAGCTGGCAACGAGGTCGCCCATGATCCAGGAGAAGATCCTCCAGGACCACCAGTACTCTGAGGACAACGGGTTCCAGGTACAGGCCGGGTTCAGCACCCAAATGCGCTTCTGTCCCGAGAACACGGTCAAATACGAGAGGGAAGAAAAGGACCAGGAAGGCGACACGTTCGTCACACTCCAGACGGCATCCAACTATCCGCAGGAGAGCTACACGTATCAGATGCAAGTTTTCAAAGAAGAGACGGAAGAACAGCAGCTCAACCCTGCCATCAAGCAGCAAGAATATTACCAGAACGCGCAGAACTTCGATTATCAGACTGCTGCTCCGATGCACCAACAGGTAGTTAAGTTTGACTAAGAATACATTTAACCTGATTTTTTCATCCCAAATTGGTCCACATTTTATCACGGAGTTCAAAATTTTGATTTCCTTTAAAAACGAGTAGTTGCATTTTTTTATGTAAACATCAAGGACCCTAAATTTTCTTGCATGGATACTCCGCAGAATAATTTATTTTTGTAATTTTATGTAAACTTCGTAACCAAAGTTGGATGAATCATAAGTTGCATCACTTCATATGTTGCAGCATAACATGTTACTTTTTTTCTCGTTTGTACGACATAGAATAGAAATCTAAACCACTCGAAGTTCACAAAACCTCCGGATTTCCCTTTGGCCCTCCTGTTTGCAGCGGTAGTCGACTACAGATTAGCTCCCTGGGATTAACAGGGCTCATCTGAGTCAGAGCGAAGCCGGCGCACCCGCGACCAGTCTAAACAGGAACGACGTCGAAGGCAAACAGACGAGGTTGTTTGGACGGTCCTGAGACGAATTCTTGAGGGCAGGACTGTTTGACGTGCTGTTTGCGGCGAGATCCGCCCTCACCCATTTCCGGCCTGGCCACGGGATATTTCCATTTACCTTTTTACCAGAGACGACTTTTTTCTTTCACCCGGGCTGCGCCTTTCCGTCTCCGAAACTGGGTCGGGATCCTGATAAAATGTCCTATCCGATCAAAAAATCTCGTCTTGAGTCTCGGTCGCCAATGCTCTTTAAATGTCTAGCTGAACGGCAATCTTTGATATCAGAAAGAGCCCACTGTATCCTCGTTGACGAGACTACAGGTTCATTTTGATTTTTAACTGAATAAATTTGAATTCATCGCCATATTGACATAGTCATCTTTAATCACTAAGCAAACAGAACAGATATTCGCTTTGACATCAAAAATGTCTTAATTTGATTTTTTTATTTTAGTTAATTTATAGTGAGATTTCTCCGTCTCCGGAGTGATGTACATGTAATTTTGTCATTACCGATCATTTTGACCTATCTTGGCTGGGTTGCTTGGCAGAGGCATTTCGCAATCTTCGATGGCCAAGTTTGTGTCTTTTTCGCTTTTTCCTATTAGTGTTGTAAAAAGTAGTATTATAGTCGTAAAGTTGGATTACACTTGGTTCAGAAATAGTTCAATTCGGTTGACGATGAAAGGATTAGATTGGCCTTATAAAAAAAAAAAGAAAATGTTCAATTTGAGTTGGAAAAAGGTGGATTAGAGTTAGAAAAAGTTGGTTTGAAAAAAGTCCAATTCATTCATCAAATTGAACAAGAATGAAATAGAGGTGGAAAAAGTATAAATTGGTTTAAAAATAGATAATTTGGTTTGGAAAATGTTTAATTACGGTTGGAAAAATTATAACTTGGCTCATAAATAATTCAATTCGGTTGATGATGAAATGATTGGATTGGCTTTATAAAAAGCATAGAGTAGACAACGTTCAATTTGAGTTAGAAAAAGTTGGTTTTAAAAAAGTCAAATTCATTCATCAAATTGAACAAGAATGAAATAGAGGTGGAAAAAGTATAAGTTGGTTTAAGAATAGATCATTCGGTTTGGAAAAGGTTACATTATAGTTGGAAAAAGTTGTATTACAGTGTGAAAAGTATAACTTGGTTAGTTAATAGTTCACATCAGTATGGAAAAGGTTGGATTGGAGTAGAAAAACGTTGAATTAAAATTGAAAAAATGGAATTAGAATTATTTCAAAATTCAGTATTCAATTTGTGTGATTTTTCACTATCAGACTATTCCAAACTGTTCTAATTCAACTTTTTCTAAAGAAAATAAGATCCAATTTTTTTAAAATTACATTTAGCCAACACTGAAAATGGCTGCCGATTCATACTAACAGGCCAAGTTCTGTCCAGCGAGGATAGGCGACATCCAAACTACCAATTAATTATATTTGTACGCTAGTCTGTTTACCATTTAATCTGGCTAAGTTCGGACATTTTGGTCTGTCAAACGCAATTTTCCATTTTGCCATTTTCACCGGTAGGTCCTTCACTTTTATAATGGGGAAATTGCCCAACGAGTACGAAACTAGCGAGGGATAATCGGAAACGTTCAAAGTACGAATTTATAATAACCTCGTCGAATCCTGACCATATCAGATCTGTATTTGACATTGGTTCATCTGATCCGTACGATGTCTTATCTTTAGATTTATATCACCATCAAAGTCATCTAGTCTACATTTTATGACAAATGTATCTAATTCAATGAAGACGCAATAATTTATTTCTTTGTTAAAAGTCTACTTTTGAAAAATCGATCAAAAATCACTATTTCAAATCTTTAAAAAAATTTGTCCGTTTGACTTATTATGTATTAGTTGTGCAAGTTCTGATGGCGACTTTTTTCTCGTATCGTCTTCTTAGTGAGTCAAGTATCTGGAAATTCACAATTTTGTATCTCAACTCTTTATTCAAAGAATTTATTTATATTTTAATAAATAATAATTATTTATTAACTTATACAAAAGTCTTGTTTATCGTTTTAATATTGCTGATGTGTTTGTCCATTTCCCACTGTTAAAAATTTTCACCATTCGTCAGTTATTGCTTAAACATTACCAAATATTGACCTGATTGACAACTTTTACAACGGTGCCTGTCACAGTAGAATTTTTCCAGAAAACTCAGCTTTATTTCGTCTTGCCTACCTTTGGTAGACTGTCTATAGGTAGTTAGGTTGTTTACTTTGTTATACGTTATCTTGGTCCGCCTGTTCTCGCTGTTCGCTGGTTTCGCTGAAGACGCGTTTCAATGAAGACAAACCTACGATGACTGGGGAAAAAAGCAACGACGAGTGGACCGGGATGACCAGAAGGACTCATAAGGCTCGTCGAAATATCTCAAAACCAAATTTGATCCGTTCTATACTTAAAACCGTAGTTTTCGACAAATTTTTTGTTGGGAGGAGGTCAACCTGGAGGATTTAAACAAATGGAAAAAGGTCAAGTTACCCATGATCAGTTCTTTAGGTTCCCACTGTTTGCTTAAATACCTAATTCTTGGCTTTGACAGCTTTTTGGAAATATTTTTCTTTCAATCTCTTTTGAAAAGTTAGGATAATAGTCTTCTGTCCAGTTTATTTATATTGTTCACCAGATCAAACTTACCTATGGAAAAAAATTAATATTTCTTCATAATTTTGTGGAGAGAGAGAGAGAGAGAGAGAGAGAGAGAGAGAGAGAGAGAGAGAGAGAGAGAGAGAGAGAGAGAGAGANGAGGGAGAGGGAGAGAGAGAGAGAGAGAGAGAGATAGAGAAAGAGAGAGAAATGGATCGATAGTCACAGAGATAAATAGAAAGATTGATAAATAGAGAGAAAGAGAGAATATGAAAGTAATTTTACTTCTTATAATTAAAAATTGACTGCTAGCTTATTAGAACCACGAAGTGCTTGTTTAAGTTACAATATAAAGATCTAACTGTATCAGTGTCATCAGTCGAGCTTAATTTTTAATTTAAAAAATCTATTCCATTAGGTTCCCAAATGATAAATAATATATTGGTAATTATCCGCGTCGGAGTTAAATGGTGGGTCACTAGAGGGCGGAGAAGCTTAAGGGACTTCGGGGCTTTGAAGTTTCGGTCTTCGACACTAGATCGAAGTATTCGTTCAAAGTTTACGTATCTTAAAAGGAAAGCATATTTTTTCGTTTTTTTCCCCGAAAAAAAATCTTTCGAATTATAAAGACCCAATAATGAAAACTAATTAATGTATAGGTATACCGGACCGACTGGTACTTGTACGTGAACTTAGAACAATAAGATGTATATTCTAAAGTTTGGGCATTTTCGGAAAACAATAGCCATTCGGATGATAAAGTTTTGCATATACATATTCCTGTTATCGATTTAAAATAGTCTTTGCAAAAGATAAACCTGGTCGCTGATAATAGATTACATAAAAACCCATAAACGCTCTTCAATAAATCAATACACGTACTAACAGAAATCCCTTCTTCTTTTTTTGTATTCTCTACATACCCCACTTTAATCATTTTTATCCTTTCTTCTTGATTATCGTCTTTTATTAATAATACGTAAATTTATGATTACAGTTCTGACTGAGATTGCGTTTCTCTGCAGCCAAAATAACATGATTTTTTGATAGTTTTTAAATAAAATTATACTAATTAATTATAACCAACTCGATTTTATGTTTACTTAATTTTACATTAAGAAGAAAAATGAAAAAAAAAAACCTGACGCCCAAATATAAAACATAATTAGATTTATTCGTATTGCCAATATAAGTAATAATAGTAGTAAATCGATTACTCTTAGAGATTGATTTTAGAATAGTCCAATTTGAACAAAAGTAAAATAAACTCGGAAAAAGTATAACTTGATTTTAAAAATAGTTCAGTTCGGATTAGAGTTGGAAAATTTTGGTATTGCAGTCGCAAAAAGTAGATCTTGATTAGAAAATGGTTCAATTTGGTATGGAAAAGGGTGAACTAGAAATGACAAAAGTGGATGTGAGTTGGAAAGTATAAGTTGGTTTGAGAAAAGTCCTGTTTATCTTGAACAAAGTTGAACTAGTGTTAAAAAAATGTGGATTTGAGTTGGAAAGAGTATTAAAAGTCGGTTTGAGAAAAGTTCAAGTAGAAGTTGGGAAAATTGTATTGCAGTTGGAAGAAGTATAACTGGTACAAAAATAGTTCAATTTCGGTATGGAAAATATTGGACCCGAGTTGGAAAGAGTTGAATTAGAATTGGAAAAAGTTTAATTTGGTTCAAAAATAGTTCAATTCGGTATTGAAAATACTGGACCGGATTGTTGGGTAGGAAATAAATTGTCTTTTCCACAATAGGTTCCTCCACATAAATGTATTATGGAGTTCCACAAAATTAGGATGAACACTATCAAAAAATTAAAAGGAAGAAAAAGTAAAAACTTGAATTAAAATTAGAAAAATTGTAGTACAGTTGGAAAAAGAACAACTTGGTGCAAAACTAGTTCAGTTCGGTACGAAAAAAAAGTAAAACTTGGTTCAAAAGTAGTTCAATTGTTATGGAAAATAACTAAAAAAATAGAAATCAGTTCGAAAAAAATCCGATATATTTTGGACAAAAACTGGAAAAAGTATAACTTGGTTTATGAATAGTTCAATTCAGTTTGAAAAGTTGCATTAGAGTTGGAAAAAGTAATAACAATTCATAAAAGTAAAATTAAAATAATTAATACGGTCAATTATGACCTCTAAAATATATGAATTATTGTATTAATGACAGTCATAAATCTGTCACATTTGATAAATAATTTTTGAAGGAGACTATGTCAATAGTTGGTAATAAGTTATCATTAGAAGGTCGTATTTTTATGAATCCACGAAGAACAAGGGAGGAGGAAAAATAGTTCATTGAACAACGAAATTTACTTATTGGGAATCCTCTCGTTTCATAGTAGAGGAAAACACTCAAATTTGAACAATATGTGAAATAGTTTATTGCTTTTTTGATGGGAGGAGGGCGGTTATTCAATATTGCTGTAGAATCCTGCAGTATTGCGAGATTGGTGGGGTGAAGTTTTGTTCCGACCATTTCGATCTCCTTGCTCTCGAAATTGCCAATTATTTATGGACACGATTTGAAAAATAAAACAGACCAATGAAGATGGAAAATAATCGGAAACAACCAAACTACAGATTCTGATGTATTTTCTCCAAGTTGTTGAGCCTAATTAAATTGAACTTTGATTGAATTTCAGCACATAACGGTGTACAGCGCGGATTATCCGTTCCAGAATAAACAGCAGTTGATCTACAACAATTGGAACGGGCAGAACGACTACGTTTTTTCGAGCAACCAGGCTGGAGCGAGCACCATCGCGCCTCAGCAGAACGAAGTCCACATGGCGCCGTTCTACGACTCGGCCCAGGCGTGGCCGGTCGAAGAGAACTACGATCCCTGTAAGTGAAGCACGACGGAAAAGTCGATTCAGTTTACTACCCGAGCAGCTTTTATAATTCTTTCGATTTTACAGCAATGATCCCTGAAATCAAGGAGTGCGTCAACTGCGCAGCGAGCAAGACGCCACTCTGGAGGCGCGACGTGAGCGGCCACCACCTCTGCAACGCCTGCGGACTTTACAACCGCATCAACGGAGTCAACCGACCTCCGGTACGCACCCACCACAAGAAAGTAGCCAACGTGAGTCCACTGAAGAAAGAAAAGAACAGCTCTCCCCCGAACACTAACAATTTTCTCTCATCTGTCGAGTTTGAATCACTTCCATGCGGGTTTTTTTTCAAATTTATGGTATTTACACAACCGTTGTAACGTGTTAAATGTGTTATTGTGCTATTAAAATGACAAAATTATGGATGTCGAGCAAGGGTACATTGATTCACCGCTACTTTCTTCATTTTTATTAAAGATCTGAAATCAACTTTAGATCAAAGGGTTTGAAAGATTTCTTCTTCATTTTTGACAAATACTTGATAAGCTAAAAACTTGTAGTTCAGGAATGGATAAAAACTCGATAGATGAGAGAAATAGTTTTTCTGGAAAAGAATTAGTGCAAACAGTTTACAAATATTTAGACATAACTCAGCGATTTATGCAAAATTGTAAATAACAAAAAGCAAAATTCCAACTTAGATTTTTAGTTTTTAATTATTTCGACTGATACTTGCAGACTGATCCTCAGCTATAAAAGGATAAGCAATAACCTTCATATTTTTTTATTACTTCAATAATTTAAATAAAATAAATAACGTACGTGCAAAATAAAATTCCAGATTGTAAGAGTAATCACGCCGTTCTTTGGTGTTAAATGTGTTATTGTGATGTTAAGGATGTGCTAATACACGTGAAAGATCAAATTTTACAACTGCTAAACTAACGTGTTCAGGAAGGTTATTATTAGGTTTTCAAGCAAGTTTTGTGAATTACTTTTCGTGGTTTACTGCAATTAAATTTTATCCTGGTTTGACCTTTTTTTCTTGGGGGGGGGGGGTTATATAGTGAAACAAATAACAAGTTGTAGGTAAACCAAAGCATAATCGTCAAAGATCTTACGAAATAGCACAGCTAGTGGACCCCAGATTGTGCTGGTATTTTGCATCACAAAATTTGTTCTTATCCCTCAGAGAATTTTTCATTAAATAATTTTTTTTAAAATAATCAATAGGATAAGATCATCAATTTCAAAAAAGTTCTACGAATGAATTTAACAGATTTTGTTTCCAGATGGGCAACAGGCGGGCCGGTGTGAGCTGCGCCAATTGCAACACGTCCTCGACGACCCTCTGGAGGAGGAATAACACAGGCGAACCAGTCTGCAACGCCTGCGGGCTTTACTACAAGCTTCACGGAGTAACTACCACTCTTAAGTCTCACGGATCTCGTCCGCGACCGTCCACTAATTTTGCCCTGAATTTGTTTAGGTGAACAGGCCGCTAACGATGAAGAAGGAAGGGATCCAGACGAGGAAACGAAAGCCGAAAAACCCCATGAGCAGCGGGACTACAAGCCCAAAGCACGAGATGAAGCCCCACGGTATGTTATAAGAAATTAAACAAAAATGATACTTCTTGCGATTTCTGAATAAAGTTTGAGGACGTCGGTAGCCCCAACGATTTAGGCTTTAACACAGCGCTCATCACTGTAAGGTCCGACATGGGGACTTTAGGGACAAATGGGCTTTTATTCAAAAACATCGGTTCCACGAGGGCTCATATAACCTTGTAGTTGAAATACTGTCGTAAAAGTTTGAAGGGTGGTGAACTGTAGGACGTTTAGTCCGCCTAGACTCGCTGATTTGGTCTGTCAGGCTCATTTCAGATTTCAATAATTAAATTTTATCATATGCAGTCAAACAGGCCTTCATCCAACTTAATTAAGTATAAAGAAGTAAAAAGAAAAAAGAACAACTAGATTTTAACAATTGGGTCTTATATCTCGAGCTGTCTTGCGCTAAGTTTTCATAGCCTTATAGCTGTCTCACTAACTTACCAAAATATATTAAGTGTACAGGAATTTGCTTAAAGAAACCTAAGTTCTAGAGTGTTCTGTGCTAAGGTTATAAAATCTTATAGCTCTCTTTGTAACTTAACTCAATCTTCAGGAGTTTATTATTTGAAGAACCTTAGGTGATATAGTGTCCTGTCATTCTGGGGGTAAGGTTCCATAATCTTATAGTTTTATTTGTAACTTAACTGAACCTTCAGAAGTTTATGAATTTAAATTAAGAGCCTTATGCGATATCTGTGCTAAGGTTCTACAAATTTAACTCAATCATAGGACAATGTACCTGAACACTTTATGATTCTATTGCTATGTAGCTCTTTTTTTTCTAACGTCTTATAATGTTCTATGCTAAGGTTCTAAACTCTTTCAGCTTTGTAACTTAACTCACAGGAGAGAACCTTAGGTGCTATAGTGTCCTGTCCTTCTGGGATAAGGTTACATAATCTTATAGCTAGCTTTGTAACTGAACTGAAGCTATAGTTCTTTAATTTATTTGAAGAACCTTAGGTTGAATTGTGTTCTTTACTAAGCATCTACAAATTTAGCTCAATCACTAGAACAATGTACCTAAACATTTTAAGATCCTATCGTCATACAAATTTTTTTAACCTAACGTCGTATAGTGTTCTGTGCTAAGGTTCTAAAATCTTATAGCTGTCTTTGTAACGTAACTTAATCTTTAGGAGTTTATTATTTGAAGAACATTAGGTGATATAGTGTCCTGTCATTCTGGGGTAAGGTTCCATAATCTCATAGCTTTATTTGTAACTTAACTAACCTTCAGGTATATATGATTTTGCTTAAGGTTCCTTTGGTTCTATAGTGTTGTGTGCTAGCGTTCCATAATTGTGCCTCAAATTGTTTCCTTATTTAAGGCCGTCTGTTCAAAAACCGAACTGTCAGGTGTTCATACATTTACTTGAATTATTAAAGATTTATAGTTTTCTGTCCGGATCAACGTCCAGGTTCAGACGGCATAACTTATTCATCCTTGGAACATTCAAATATACAAAGGTTCTTAGTTTTATCTTAAAACAGCTTATCCGTCATGTACGATCTATTACAAATAAGGGTAGAACAATCGTAAAAATGTCGGTTTACCTGTTGGATATATGAATCTTGAACAACCTAATGCTTTTAGAATTGTGTTGGGTCTTTTCTTAAATTTATGTTGCCTAACATTGATTAAATTTAATTACCGTAACTAACCAATATCATTTGTACATGTGCTGATGTATTTTTAACGTTTTGTAGGTGGTAAGGTCGAACGGTATGAAGGAGAAAATATTGAAAGCCACTACATAACTCCAAACGCGCTTTACCTTCAGCAGACGCCCTTCCTCAAGCATCAGAACGGGTATGCACCAGACAAATCCTGTAAATCTGTTTGTTTTATTATTTTACTGACTTTCGTTTTTCATGTTTTAGTGTCGAGGTTTTGGCGCCCAGTGTGATAATACCGCCCACGAACCAGGAACAACACAGAACTGATTGATTTATAAGAAAGAGACGTGCAATAATTATAGAAATTTTTCCGTTAAACCAAATTCCATATTATGTATTTATGTAATTATTATTATTATTGTTTGTAATTCTAGTCAATTCATGCCAACTATTCCCAGCCAGAAACGTGTCTGTCGAAAGGCATTCCAAAACAGATTCTCGGTTGTGGATTTATGTTGTTCAATGAAACAACTTTGTTATTAATTATTATTTGCTTACTATTAATTGACTCCCGGTATTGTAACAAGTGTCGGGTGCGACAATGAAAATCTAAGCCTGTTTTCATCTAATAATTATTAAAACTTTTAAAATAATTTTTGGTTTTTTATGAATATTGCTGCCATTAACCCAACTTCGATTAATTGCACAAAATTATATACAAAAGTATTCATACAAACTTTGCCCGAAGGGTGACCGTTTTCCACATTACCATCAATACTTCAAGCACGGTTTTTTCTTCTTCATCTTTGAAAAAAGGAATTTAAAAAAAATTACACCACTAAAAAGGATATTAAATGGAGTACGTTTTCTGAAATTGGCTGGTCTCTATGTTCAGAAATAGCAGTTTAGAATCACCATAGTAAGTTTTTCAACTTCGAAAAAAAAAGTGTTCTTCAAAGTTCTCGCTAATAAAACACTTATTTCACTAACTAGTTTACTATGGATCACATCTTATTGGAAATTTAACGTACTTTTCAATGGTATGAACGGATTTGTCCGACACCTTTTAGTTTTGGAGTTACCATTGTTTATTTGAAGCAAGGTCGTGAAATCTTAAACAATCAGAAAACCTTTTTGAATGTATAATCTACTGGCAAAGTTTGTAACACAAGTAGCCGAACACCCTGTATACATATGTGTATATATATATATATATATATATATATATATATATACATATATATACATATATATATGTGTAAAACTGCAAATATGTTTATATACCTAATAATTATATATTTCAATATTTAAATATGGGTTCTTTTAATTATAGGGTGTATCCTTAGTGAAAAAATACACAAAGTCAATTAAGCTATGGAGGTTGAAAATGAAAGTATAAACTGTAATCAATAATAATAATAATAATACTTTATTGCAAAAAAGAAAAGTTATAAACATTACATAATATATAATTTAAAGTAAAATTACGGCATGGAGGGTCCGTCTGCCGGAGGTCGATTTTTATTTGACTTAAAATTTTGGTCGACACAGAGAAAAAAGTACAAAATAAAAAAAGAAAAAAAAATTGATCCTTACATAAATATTACAATTGATAATTTAATTTTTAATAATTACATTAATTACTAACATACATTATAAACAATATTTTTTTTCTTCGTTTAATTTACAATAAGTATAGATATATAAATTATTTGGGCCAGCAATTTAGAATGACAAGGCTTTAAAATATTCAAAAATTAAATTCTAATATCAACTCTTGGCGCGATCTCTCTGTCATCAATTAGACCAATTTTCACTGATTTCGTAATCATTTTGAAATGTTATCGTGTCATATATTACGTTAATACGTTCATTAGCAATAGATAATACATTAATTTCGTGAGGCTAACAGTTACCAGCCGGATATGGAAAGGAAGAAAGGAAGAGTCTTCCTTTTTCCAGGTCCGGGACGTTATCCGGTGGGGGGCCTGGATTTAGTCATAACCCTTGGTCCGGAAGAAGACCCGGTGGGACACGCCGTGCGAAATACCTGCACCGGCCGGTGTATCTCAGTGCTTTCGGAGGGATGGGCAGCTCTCCATTAGCCGAACACGGCAATGTGCTTTAGAAGCTTTTAGCCGGCGACGGTAAAAAAAGCGGCTGGGAGCGCGCCGTCTCGCTCGGCCCCCCGCGGACCCATCCCGTCAACCCCCTCAACCGTCGTTCATTCGGTTCCTAATCACTCTACACGGATTCTCAAACGCATTAATACTTACTCTTGGATCACATCTTCTTCTGGTTTGACCCTTTTACCACTCTCGAAGGACAGATTTACGATGTTTTAACAACAAACACAATAGCAGACATTATATCATAATACATTCATTTATTTCATGTTTGTACAGTTATTTACGTTAATTTTTTTAAACCATTGTATTTCTACCTTTTTCGTCAAGTCACTGCCCCCCCCTCAGGCTCAGTTTCGGATATCCTCATAAGAAAAATTATTAGTTTAGGAAAAAATCCCCAGGATAATGCTACAAATCTTAACAGTAGAGTAAAACAACCACAATAATAATAATATTAATAATCAACATTTATAGAATTTAAAAAACACTGAAATGTGTGCAACATAAAAAATACATATTTACCATATAAAATCAGCGTAGGCTGAGCTTTGTTGCTTGCTTTATTAAAAAGAACATTTTTGTTTTAATTAGGATGAAGGACCTCACTCAGTGAAGGTAATTTTATGCCAGCAGTCCAAACCAGTTAAAAGACAAATTCCGGCCGGTTTTGCGCAAGGCTAGGTTTTTGGGCCTACTCTTTTTAACTTGTTCACACAGAAATGAACTTCAACTTCAATATGTACAACAGAAAAAATATTTACTATAAAAAATCAGATTAGACTCAGGTTTGTTGCTTGCTTTATTAAAAAGAACATTTCGATTAAAACAAAAATCTATATATTTTTTTAAATCGTAATGACCACACAAATAGGTAATTTTATATCCATTGCCATCATTTCAAATCAAAAATTCCCAGCCGGTGTTTTGCAAGGCTCGGTTCTTGGACTTACTTTTTTTAAGTTTTTCGTATATAAGTGAACTTCAACTTTAATATGTACAACAATAAAAATATGTATTATGCAAAATCAACTTATACTGAGATATTGGGCTCGCTTTTTTAAAAGAACATTTCTATTAAATTAGAAATACTATAGATTTCTGTAATATTTCAAAAACCCTAATCTCCTCCAATACCATTTTAAAAAAGGAGGATCTCACAAATAAATTATTTTATGCCCAATGTCATCATTCCAATACCAGAAAAATAAAAATGTTTTCAATTTATATTCTACTTTTTTTAACTTGTTCGTATACAAACGAACTTCAACTTTAATATGTACAACAGAAAAATATGTACTATACAAAATCAGCTTAGGCGGATGTGTTCTTGCTTGCCGATAATGACTCTTTCTTCAAAGAAATATTAATGCCTTAGCAAAATATTTTGACTTGCGAAACCGGTCTGCAATTTAAATAAGCAAAAGGTTATCATTTTCAGGAGATGAAGCAGGCTTGCTTTGAAAGAAGCACAATTTCCTTGGGGATGAAAGATAAGAATTTCTCCCGATCGTTTTAAAATATAAAAACTATATTTAGTGCATTTATTATTATTACAAACAAGATAAATTTAATTAAACTTAAAATTTCGTTTTATTTATTATTTATTATCAGTAAAAAGCTTATAAAATATGTATATTATCTTTCTTGCTGAAATTAATCTGATTTATGTACGTTCGTTTGAATAATGCATTAATATATAATTAAAATAAATATCACATGATAATTTTATATCAAAAAAACTACTGTACTAATGTTTTAACGATGCGATCAGGGTCATCGTGGTGAAAAGCCAGGTAGAAAAAGGACCCGCGATGAGTAAAGTCCAAAGTGCAATTTTGCCAAAAAGCCGTTGCCCTGGTGAAACAATGGTTGTTTACGTCCCAAAAGTCGACAAACAAGTTGTAAATCGTTCCAACTGTCATTTCTCTTTCAAAATCGGATTATCTAATTTTTTTTAAATTATGAATAGACATTTTCAATTAGAATGGTTTTTCAGAATCTACCCAGTGTAATCTTCTCTCTACATGTATTCCATTAAAATTACTTTACTGAGTTTTACGACTTGGCTCTTGTATTTATTATTATTTAATCGATTAAATGGCTAGTCGATTAATTTTTCTTCTGAATTGGTTAATCAAAAGTCATGAGTCTCACAGCAAATGATCTCGATGTTGTGTATTGGCGTGCGAGTCGGTAAATTGGTACTGGGTCACTTATTTGGTACGTCTATACTCGCGGGTTGTAGAGAGAATCCGAGAGAGAGAGAGAGAGAGAGAAATTAACGATTTATTTATTAAAACACACGCAAAAGTTAGGTCTCTAGGACACTTACTTAACGTGTAATTACAATTATATTTGTTTATAGTCGCAACAGACTAAAATAGAAAGAACAAATTATTGTAAAATCAACAATGAAGTAAATTAATAAAGTGAGAGTAAGTTAAACTTAAAAGTTATACTTTTATACAGTTAATGATAAATAAGTGAATATAATACAAGTTATTTAAACAAAATTAGACATAGATTTTTCGGAAGATTCTTAAAAACTAAATTAGAACCTAATAGCATTGGAACATAATTTTACGATTTAAAAATGAAATAAAATACTAATAAAATGATTATTAACGTTTTACAAGCTAATGTACAAGTAAATAAAAAGTGAATAATAAAAGTAATAAATAAAAGTATATAAATATATGATGTGATGTTAACTACGTAAATAACTAACTACGTAAAAAGTTTTACTTTGAATAATTTTGTTTTATGTTTCAACTATATATTTCGGTATTGAGTTAAAGATTCTGAAGCTTTTATTTTAAATTAATTGCTAAGTATTTTTGTTCTGGGTTTTGGTAGATGAATGAGCTGTTCTGGTATTAATGTTATGGATATTGCATTGAAATTTAAAATTATGAAACATGTAGGAAGGGTTTTTATTTTGTACTATTTTGCATAAAAACGTTGCCATGGAATAGATTTTAAGTCTTTATTTTTTATTTTTTTAGAGAAAGAGAGAGGGTGAGAGAGAGAGAGAGAGGGAGGGAGAAAGGGAGAGAGCGTTTGTGAGAGCAGAAGATGTATAACATTATTGTTAAAGAGAGAGAAGTAAAATAGATTGAGAGAAAAGAGATACTGTAAAGGGAAGAAGTGAGAGAAAATAAATAGATAGATATGTAGAGGGAGATTGAGAGAGAAAGAGAAAGAGAGAGAGCTTGTGAGAAGAGAAGACATAGGTATAAGATTGTTGTTAAAGAATAGAGATGGAAACTATGGGTTACTTATTGGGTCCGTGTACACTCGCGGATTGTGGTTCCCCTAACAAGCCCGGTTCAACAAGAGATCTTTTAATAGTTATCAGCTAATTTAAAATTCGTCCCTTGACCTTTTTTTATTCTCTTAGAAACACAATTCATTTTATCTTTTTGAAGCGTTTTAAAAAGTTTCAAGTAAGGCTTAAACTTTTCTGGATAATCGGCTCAGTTACTTCTATTTGTGTAATAAGTCTGCCATATATTTTATTATAG